AACTGAGGACAGTCTCAGAGACCTCTGGGACAACATTAAACGCACCAACATTCGAATTATAGGGGTTCCAGAAGAAGAAGAGAAAAAGAAAGGGACTGAGAAAATATTTGAAGAGACTGTAGTTGAAAACTTCCCTAATATGGGAAAGGAAATAGTTAATCAAGTCCAGGAAGCACAGAGAGTCCCATACAGGATAAATCCAAGGAGAAATACGCCAAGACACATATTAATCAAACTGTCAAAAATTAAATACAAAGAAAGCATATTAAAAGCAGCAAGGGAAAAACAACAAAAAACACACAAGGGAATCCTCATAAGGTTAACAGCTGATCTCTCAGCAGAAACCCTACAAGCCAGAAGGGAGTGGCAGGACATACTGAAAGTGATGAAGGAGAAAAACCTGCAACAAAGACTACTCTACTCAGCAAGGATCTCATTCAGATTTGATGGAGAAATTAAAACCTTTACAGACAAGCAAGAGCTGAGAGAGTTCAGCACCACCAAACCAGCTTTACAACAAATGCTAAAGGAACTTCTCTAGGCAAGAAACACAAGAGAAGTAAAAGACCTACAATAACGAACCCAAAACAATTTAGAAAATGGGAATAGGAACATACATATCGATAATTACCTTAAATGTAAATGGACTAAATGCTCCCACCAAAAGACACAGATTGGCTGAATGGATACAAAAAAAAGACCTTTATATATGCTGTTTACAAGAGACCCACTTCAGACCTAGAGACACATACAGACTGAAAGTAAGGGGATGGAAAAAGATATTCCATGAAAATGGAAACCAAAAGAAAGCTGGAGTAGCAATTCTCATATCAGACAAAATAGACTTTAAAATAAGGACTATTAGAAGAGACAATGAAGGACACAACATAATGATCAAGGGATCGATCCAAGAAGAAGATATAACAATTGTAAATATTTATGCAGCCAACATAGGAGCACCTCAATACATAAGGCAAATGCTCACAGCCATAAAAGGGGAAATCGACAGTAACACATTCATAGTAGGGGACTTTAACACTCCACTTTCACCAATGGACAGATCATCCAAAATGAAAATCAATAAGGAAACACAAGCTTTAAATGATACATTAAACAAGATGGACTTAATTGATATTTATAGGACACTCCATCCAAAAACAATAGAACACACTTTCTTCTCAAGTGCTCATGGAACATTCTCCGGGATAGATCATATCTTGGGTCACAAATCAAGCCTTCGTAAATTTAAGAAAATTGAAATTGTATCAAGTATCTTTTCTGACCACAACACCATGAGACTAGATATCAATTACAGGAAAAGATCTGTAAAAAATACAAACACATGGAGGCTAAACAATACACTACTTAATAATGAAGTGATCACTGAAGAAATCAAAGAAGAAATTAAAAAATACCTAGAAACAAATGACAATGGACACACAACGACCCAAAACCTATGGGATGCAGCAAAAGCAGTTCTAAGGGGGAAGTTTATAGCAATACAAGCCCACCTTAAGAAGCAGGAAACATCTCGAATAAACAACCTAACCTTGCACCTCAAGCAATTAGAAAAAGAAGAACAAAAAAACCCCAAAGCTAGCAGAAGGAAAGAAATCATAAAAATCAGATCAGAAATAAATGAAAAAGAAATGAAGGAAACAATAGCAAAGATCAATAAAACTAAAAGCTGGTTCTTTGAGAAGATAAACAAAATAGATAAACCACCAGCCAGACTCATCAAGAAAAAAAGGGAGAAGATTCACATCAATAGAATTAGAAATGAAAAAGGAGAAGTAACAACTGACACTGCAGAAATGAAAAAGATCATGAGAGATTACTACAAGCAACTCTATGCCAATAAAATGGACAATCTGGAAGAAATGGACAAATTCTTAGAAATGCACAACCTGCCAAGACTGAATCAGGAAGAAATAGAAAATATGAACAGACCAATCACAAGCACTGAAATTGAAACTGTGATTAACAATCTTCCAACAAACAAAAGCCCAGGACCAGATGGCTTCACAGGCGAATTCTATCAAACATTTAGAGAAGAGCTAACACCTATCCTTCTCAAACTCTTCCAAAATATAGCAGAAGGAGGAACACTCCCAAATTCCTTCTACGAGGCCACCATCACCTTTATACCAAAACCAGACAAGGATGTCACAAAGAAAGAAAACTACAGGCCAATATCACTGATTAACATAGATGCAAAAATCCTCAACAAAGTACTAGCAAACAGAATCCAACAGCACATTAAAAGGATCATACACCATGATCAAGTGGGGTTTATTCCAGGAATGCAAGGATTCTTCAATATATGCAAATCTATCAATGTGATAAACCATATTAACAAATTGAAGGAGAAAAACCATATGATCATCTCAATAGATGCAGAAAAAGCTTTTGACAAAATTCAACACCCATTTATCATAAAAACCCTGCAGAAAGTAGGCATAGAGGGAACTTCCCTCAACATAATAAAGGCCATATATGACAAGCCCACAGCCAACATCATCCTCAATGGTGAAAAACTGAAACCATTTCCACTAAGATCAGGAACAAGACAAGGTTGCCCACTCTCACCACTCTTATTCAACATAGTTTTGGAAGTTTTAGCCACAGCAATCAGAGAAGAAAAGGAAATAAAAGGAATCCAAATCGGCAAAGAAGTAAAGCTGTCACTGTTTGCAGATGACATGATACTATACATAGAGAATCCTAAAGATGCTACCAGAAAACTACTAGAGCTAATCAATGAATTTGGTAAAGTGGCAGGATACAAAATTAATGCACAGAAATCTCTGGCATTCCTATATACTAATGATAAAAAATCTGAAAGTGAAATCAAGAAAGCACTCCCATTTACCACTGCAACAAAAAGAATAAAATATCTAGGAATAAACCTACCTAAGGAGACAAAAGACCTGTATGCAGAAAATTATAAGACACTGATGAAAGAAATTAAAGATGATACAAACAGATGGAGAGACAAACCATGTTCTTGGATTGGAAGAATAAACATTGTGAAAATGACCCTACTACCCAAAGCAATCTATAGATTCAATGCAATCCCTATCAAACTACCACTGGCACTTTTCACAGAACTAGAACAAAAAAATTTGCAATTTGTATGGAAACACAAAAGACTCCGAATAGTCAAAGCAATCTTGAGAATGAAAAAAGGAGCTGGAGGAATCAGGCTCCCTGACTTCAGACTATACTACAAAGCTACAGTAATCAAGACAGTATGGTACTGGCACAAAAACAGAAAGATAGATCAATGGAACAGGATAGAAAGCCCAGAGATAAACCCACACACATATGGACACCTTATCTTTGATAAAGGTGGCAGGAATGTACAGTGGAGAAAGGACAGCCTCTTCAATAAGTGGTGCTGGGAAAACTGGATAGGTACATGTAAAAGTATGAGATTAGATCACTCCCTAACACCATACACAAAAATAAGCTCAAAATGGATTAAAGACCTAAATGTAAGGCCAGAAACTCTCAAACTCTTAGAGGAAAACATAAGCAGAACACTCTATGACATAAATCACAGCAAGATCCTTTCTGACCCACCTTCTAGAGTAATGGAAATAAAAACAAAAATAAACAAATGGGACCTAATGAAACTTCAAAGCTTTTGCACAGCAAAGGAAACCATAAAAAAGACCAAAAGACAATCCTCAGAATGGGAGAAAATATTTGCAAATGAAGCAACTGACAAAGGATTAATCTCCAAAATTTACAAGCAGCTCATGCAGCTCAATAACAAAAAAACAAACAACCCAATCCAAAAATGGGCAGAAGACCTAAATAGACATTTCTCCAAAGAAGATATACAGACTGCCAACAAACACATGAAAGAACGCTCAACATCATTAATCATTAGAGAAATGCAAATCTAAACTACAATGAGATATCATCTCACACCAGTCAGAATGGCCATCATCAAAAAATCTAGAAACAATAAATGCTGGAGAGGGTGTGGAGAAAAGGGAACAATCTTGCACTGCTGGTGGGAATGTGAATTGGTTCAGCCACTATGGAGAACAGTATGGAGGTTCCTTAAAAAGCTACAAATAGAAGTACCATATGATCCAGCAATCCTACTACTGGGCATATACCCTGAGAAAACCAAAATTCAAAAAGAGTCATGTACCAAAATGTTCATTGCAGCTCTACTTACAACAGCCCGGAGATGGAAACAACCTAAGTGCCCATCATCGGATGAATGGATAAAGAAGATGTAGCACATATATACAATGGAATATTACTCAGCCATAAAAAGAAACGAAATTGAGCTATTTGTAATGAGGTGGATAGACCTAGAGCCTGTCATACAGAGTGAAGTAAGTCAGAAAGAAAAAGACAAATACCGTATGCTAACACATATATATGGAATTTAAGAAGAAAAAAAAATGCCATGAAGAACCTAGGGATAAGACAGGAATAAAGACACAGACCTACTGGAGAACGGACTTGAGGATATGGGGAGGGGGAAGGGTGAGCTGTGACAGGGCGAGAGAGAGTCATGGACATATACACACTAACAAACGTATGGTAGATAGCTAGTGGGAAGCAGCCGCATGGCACAGGGATATCGGCTCGGTGCTTTGTGACCGCCTGGAGGGGTGGGACAGGGAGGGTGGGAGGGAGGGAGACGCAAGAGGGAAGAGATATGGGAACATATGTATATGTATAACTGATTCACTTTGTTATAAAGCAGAAACTAACACACCATTGTAAAGCAATTATACCCCAATAAAGATGTTTAAAAAAAAAAAGACTAATTTGTTATTAAGCTATGAACTTAGCAAACGTGTTAAAACTGTAAAATATTAATTCAGAGCATAGTGCAAAAAAATTGTGTAATAGAATAAAACACATTTAGTAGAGTAAAACTTCCAAGGTTATTGAAAGCATACAGAATGAATTAAGATTTTCTCTGTAAATGCAAAAATACATATATAATCATAAAACATCTTACATACCTCATTCCATTTTTTGGCTTTCCATGAAGGGCATCTGACAGATCTACAAGCTTTATGAGTTCGAGGTTTCTGTAGATGACTGCAATATTTTTCTTCTAATTTCCCATGGAATTGGTCAACGCAAATCACCTCACGGTACTTTAAACCTTTACCACAAGGAGCTGAGCACTGGAAAATAAATATGAATGCACTTGATTCATTTTATCTTTACTAATTAAAGTTTATCTGCAAGAAGTGTAAAATGAAGCAATCAAAACATCATCACTTTGATATTTCATGAAGATATACTTTGATATTTCTAATGAGAGAATTTAAAATTTGCCAATCTGCGCTCGACCATCACTGATATTGATATGATAAGGTATCCATTTATTCTTCAAAAAAGTATTGATTGTCTACCATATACCAAGCACTCTTCTGGTATATAAGTGCTTTAGATCTTTTGAGGTTAAAGACTATCTGCAGCTAACTCCTGTTATCACACATATTTCAATAAAACTTGCTTTCGATTTTGTATGGTCGCCACCTATTCAATTTTTAACCCCATATGTCTTGCCATAGTGCAAACTGTGCTTTGGATGTCAAAAACAAAACAAAACAAAAATCTCTCAATGTAGGAAACTATGAGAAAGTATAAAATTAATTTTTTAAAGCACAATTCAGTTCAGGTTTGTTTTTCACTTCCATCTGGCAACTGTATGTCCCCATCATCAACCCTCCAAAATATTTAGTGAAAAACAAACTACCTAAAATCTCTGTAAGGATATATGTAAAACAGTGATCAGACTTCCTTTTTCAGCCAGTTGCCATTTTATAAGCAATTCCAGTGCAGAGGAGAGGAAGGGCTTGGGCTCTGGCATTGAATACCAGCTCTGCCACTTACTATTTGGGTGACTTTGAGTATATTTCATCCCCTGGCCAAACCTCAGTTTCTTCATTATAAAGTGATGATAATGACACAATATTAGAGGTTTATTATGAAGATTAACATAAGATAAAGAAAATGAGATATCTAATCCAGTCCTTTTACATAGGGTACATCTTCAGTGAATATTAGCTTCCTCTTCTACCATTTTCCTTCATATACTCTGAGGATGTTGACAATTTTCAGCATGATACATGTACCAGGGAAAAGTTAAGCAAAGAAGACACGGATTCCAGATAACTCCTCTCATTCCTCTGAGACAGCTGGTTACATATGGTTTCATTTAGAAACATATACTGAGTTCTGAGAACATTAGATAATATATTATGCATTTTATGTATATTATGAGTTCAAAGAGTGATTAATATAGAGTATTAGATGTTTAAAATATTTTAAATTAAAAAAATGAATAGTTTGGGGATAATTTACCTTTATATGTTATCTGCAATACTATATCCCATTTGTGTGGGGAATTAATTTAACTTGGTACCTTGATTATTAAGACATTACCATATCTGAGATGTTCTCTTCTTGTTAACACCTACAGCTTTACATGCCACTTAGAACACACTTTAATTCAGTGTGAATTGTTAACGGGTCTTGATAAACTGTATTACATGTACATTCTTTCCTGCTATTTTTTTTATTTTTTATTTTTGTATTGAAGTGTAGTTGATTTACAATACTGTGTTAGCTTCAGGTTTATAGCACAGCAATTCAGATATATATATATATATATATATATATATAGAGAGAGAGAGAGAGAGACATATATGTATGTATATATATTTTCTTTTTCATATTCTTTTTCCTTATAGGATATTACAAAATATTGAGTATAGTTCCCTGTGCTATACAGTAGGTCCTGTTGGTTATCTATGTTATATATAGTAGTATGTAAACATTAATCACAGCTTCCTAATTTATCCGTCCCTCCACTTCCCCCTTTGGTAACCATAAATTTGTTTTCTATGTCTGTGAGTCTATTTCTTTTTGGAAATAAGTTCATTTGTATCTTTTTTTTTTTCAGATTCCACAAATAAGCAATATCATATGATATTTGTCTTTGTCTGGCTTACTTCACTTAATATGATAATCTCTAGGTCCATCCATGTTGCTGTAAATGGCATTGTTTCATTCTGAATGTGCTCGATATCATCTTTCCTACTACTGACCTTCCCTTTCAGATCTACCTTTATGCTCTACTCCTCTTGGTCTCTTATCTTGGGCACTTCCCTGTCTGTTTCTTGACTACATTGTTTATTTTTCAAAGAGTATAACATAGTTTATACTAAAAAATCACATACTATTGAGTACCAGGCGTATATTATCTGGGAGTATACATGCACGTTCACACATACAAGAATGTTTTTCTCCTTGGTTGTGTATTTTTTCTAACTTTTAAACTGTGACTTTTTGAACAAAGGAGGATTTATTACTCTCCCTGATAGTCCCTTGTAAAAAGTAATCATTATTGTGAATACTCATGATATGAGCCCAGTAGTACTTATGGAAGATGGAAAAATGTTTACTATTTTATTTACTCTATGAATATTATTGAGTTTTTGCCATATACCAAGAGTAGCATATAAATATAGATTCATTAACCATCTTTTGCCTTGACTTATCCTCAAAGTGCTTATAATCTAAATGACACCATCTATTAAATGAATAATGCCAGAGTACATCTTAAATAATATTAAATTCAATAAAGATCAGAATAAAAATACAAGACAGTAAAAACCATTAAGACAATACAATAAAAATATTATTGAATTAAGAAAATAGTGAAAAATAGTCATTTCTTTATGGGATATTTGGTAAGCACTCAGGGAGAGGTGATATTTAAACTCAGTCTTGAAGATGTAGTTTTGCTGATGGACAAAGACAGATGGTCTTGTATATTTGTTTGATGTGCCTTATCTAATGCCCATGTGTCTCTGTTTTGCAAAATTCTCATAGTTCTTTTATCAGTGCCAAGAATCCAAGAATCGTGCAGTAAACATGCAGTAAATTGTTGATATTTCTGATAAGAATGACCAATTCATTTATGAAACTAACACAAGAAGAGACATTAAAGATTCTACTTTAGAATTGAACAATGCATTTCCTCTATAAGCAGCATTTGTGAGTGGAATGTAAACTGGGACATTACAGTTCACTACCAAAGTGAGGACTGTTTCTCACAAAACTGAATAGCCTCTCCTCATCTAACTGGAAGTCACCTTTTATTCTTTCTCTTCTTTGTTATTCTAATCTGTAACCAAGACTAGTGTTAAACATAATTTTAAACATATTGCTTCTTTATTTTTTTCAAGAACTGACAATGAATCTCTGTTGTCCTTAATACAATACGAAAACAAACCTCTTCCTTGCTTTCTTGATTCACCAAATTTCAGTCAACATCCCTTTCTAGCACAATATTCTGTTTCTTTTCAACACACAACCTTTGCTCTACTAACGTATAACATAATTACTTTCTCTTTAGGGTGACATTTTCACTCACCACAGTACCTGATTCATATTATTTCCTTTTACTTCGACTAATCACTTGCCCTGGTGCTTTCTAAATAGTACTTATCCTTAAAGCTCTAAGTCCATCCCATGTCTAAGGTGAATACATATCAATCTTTCACTTCTCTGAACTCTTCTGTCTCTGTTTTTGGCACTTCATCATTTTCTATTTTTGTCACATACTTTATCCAAACTTCTAGAGGTCAAGGACCTTTTAGATCACCCACGTCACCCACAAAGTGGAAGGTACGATAAATATCAGCTGATTAATTGATGTTGATTCTTGGTGCAAGCAGTTATTTGTTTTTATTAAACTCTAAAATAATTTATTAAAAGTTTACTTTTCCATGAAATATATTTATTGGATATTAAACTCAAAGTCTTCTAGGAAAGATAGACAAAATGTATAAAATCAAAGAATTGCAAAGTAAATTATGCTTTCGTTACACTTTTAAAGTAGCACTCTCTTTCCCCAAGATCTGAAAAGGAATAAGTACATTATTTTATCATGTCTGATGAATTCCATGTGGGCATTTAAGTAAAAGAGAACACATTATGCAAAGAATTATGTTTTGGTTGGAACGAAGCAGTCATAGAGTAAATAACTAGTGAAATGTTACCTTCCTTCTCTCAAACCACAATACATTCTGAGTTGTAAAGTTTCCACAAAATAGCTTATTTGGTAGAAAAACCCAAACATGGTCATTCTTTGCTCTGGGACCCCAGTAATTCTTTTCATTTTTGTTTTTCTCTATTTTATATCCCTAATACCATCTTATTCCCTTGAGGTTTTATTAACTGTATAATTTTTTTGAACTTTATTTTATTTTTTACATAGCAGGTTCTTATTCATCTGTTTTACACGTATCAGTGTATACATGTCAATCCCAATCTCCCAATTCATCCCACCACCACCACCAACACCCCATCCCTCTTTCCCCCCTTGGTGTCCCTACGTTTATTCTCTATATCTGTATCTCTATTTCTGCCTTGCAAACTGGTTCATCTGTACCATTTTTTGATTAACTGTAAAATTTATTTCCAGCATTGTCGTCAAAGTTTGTTTTTCTTTAAAATCATCTCTGTCATCCTTAGTTGACAGTCTTACTAACTAACCCTTTCTGAGATTTTTCCATGAATACTAGGGAGCAATAGCTATAGGAAGTGGTGACATTAAATGTAAGTAATCTGAATTGACTATTCTTATAAATTAGGTGAAGACACGTGCCTATTTAAGGAAAACAGGGCGTTCAAAGCAAATGTAGAATTTGCAGGCCCTAAAAATAGAATAGAATATCCAGAACTGTGCAGGTTGACTGGCACATTCAATCTCAAGATGGACAGTTGGAATTAATGAGTCCATTTTCACATGATTAACTTTGGAACAAGTCTATTCTCGTTTTTGAAATGAAGTTGTACATAATTACAGAACGATTACTTCTGATATTGGAAGTGTGGATTATTGCTTTGTTTGCATATAAGGATACTACAGAAGAATGAATGAATTGACAATTTGTGAGAAACTTGTTGTTAATTTAATTCTAGAAACTTAAATTGCAAGACAAAATAAAACAAGGAAATGAAGTTTACCTAGCTCCAGTTCTAGAAAATGGAAAACTGTGGAGTTTGTGCGTGTGTGTTAGACTTTCATAAACTGTAATGGTGATTGGGTCTCTATCCTCTCTGAAAGTAGTGGGAAACATACTGATATTGGGAGAATTAGTATGTA